TGTAGTATGTCATATATGGATATATTCATACAATTTTTCACGAGTTCCTCATCTTTCTGACTGTGTAAATGTCGTGCATTGAATTTAACAGAAATGTAACGAGAGACGTTATTATCTTTGACCCATCAAAATGAATGCGGTCATTTATTTTCAGAATCAAAGTTTAACATCAAACATTTACATTAATTTGGCAAAATATGAAAATAATAACAGACAAGTTTCACAGATAATGGACTTCAATCACACGGCGGTGATCGAGGACTTTGCTTCAGATATTTCTAAAATATCTGTACTGATTTTAAGAGAAAGGAGAGTTTAAGATGGAAATGGAGATTTATCTTACAGAGAGATTTGTGAGGGAATTAATCTGTTTGACCAGAAACGTGCATGCTCCTTCAGATCTCAGCTTGCGACGGTACGCTTGGTCGAAGTGGACTGTTACCTGGTTGATGATAGGTCAGCGTCGGTATAGGATCCTCCTTTGACTCTTTCAGCGTCTCCGTTGAGAGCAGCTGAAATCCTTCGAGAGTCGTGCGAGGTTATTCAAACAGAAGTTATAATCCCAAAACGTCTCTGGATCATCCTGAACGCGTTTGCATCCAAGAACTCTGAACTCCTTTCATCTCCTTAGCACTCTCTATCAGACTTCCGACATCAGACTCTGTGCACTCTAGCTCTTTAAATCCATCACTCTTCAGCACTCTGTGTGGAACTCTGTGTGCAGAACCGGGAAGTTGCCACATTTTAAATGAGTTGACTTCCGGGTCAATTTAGAGCTTTCTGATTCGTGGATGGACCAGAATAGAGGTGTGGTTTGTGATGTAAGATGTTATCAAATTCGAGGTCAGAGAATGAGATTGTTTACAACATACAGAAAAGATTATTGGAGAAAACCAGACTTCGTGGAGTCTCACTCTTATTATCTTCTGAAAAAGTTTAAACATGACATTTCTTCTCAGTAAACATTTTAGTTGACCGAGACTCGACCTTTAACATACTTACAAAACTTGCTCATTGCAGACAGAAAAATCAAGAAATGCATATTAACCTGATTTCTTCTTTGAATGAGGAAT